GAGACCTGGACGGGCTCCGACGACTGAGCATGCCCGAGTGCCGCTCCGCGAGTCCCGCGCAGGGAGCGGCGCCGGCGAGATTCCACTTCTCCAGGCTTTGGCGGCGGCTGCGCGGAGAGGCTGGAGGGCCCGACCGGGCGGGGGCCGATCCCGAGAAAGGCGGGGCCGGGGGCGGGAGCCGAGGAGGAGGGGGCGGGCCGCGCTCCTAGTGCGACCCCTGCAGGCAGAGGCTTCGGAGCCTCTCGGACTAAGGTTCCCTCATCATCTGAGAAGATGACAGGGAGGCAACGCGCGCCAGGGAGCTGAGCCCCAACGCGATGCAGCCCGGCGTCCCCTCCATGTGGCCCGGCGTCTGTCTGCACCAAAAGGCAGTTGGGTAACCTTATCTCTGGCTAGTCTTTTCTCCCACACGTCTGCACTCCCTTATAATGGGAAAATGTCCTCAGATGAGAACTGCCCACGCCTACCGAGCTGCAACTTGGAGGCGAGTTGTCCTTTCTTCTGCCTCCCTATCTAGAAGCCCAGGCAAATCACACGCACACACACACCATTCCTTGATGTAAAAATCACAGCAAGATCACCTCAAGGGAGAAACACACCTGCAGGAAAGGAAAGGCATCATTTCCTTTTCACCTCCAGGAACATTAACTGTAACTCAAATTTAAACAGACAAGCAAGGTCCTGATAAGAGAATACTCAGTAAGTAGTAATCAGTGCTCTGCCCCAGATCCTGGGAATGACATCCCCAAAGCATCCTTAGGGTTGTTCTTCACCAATGCAGTGGTTTTGGAACTTGAACCTGCGTCACAATCGTCCAGAGGGTTTCTGCAAACACGGATTGCTGGGTCCCACACCCAGAGTCTCTGAATGAGAAGGTCTGTGGTGTGGCCCAAGCATCTGTACATCCAACTTCCCAGGTCTGGGAACGACACCTTCGAGAATCACTGTTCTACATATGCACACAGCTTTACCTAGGATGTCCTTCAGGAGGATTATGCTAAAAGTAAATTTATAGTAACTGCAAAGTAATGGCTCCTCCTCACTCATCCTCTTCCCCAAACCTCCCGAATGCACTCCTTCTCCAAACAGCAAACTCACACCTCGCCAGTCTCTATTCTTTATGAGAGTACTCTATGAGGTTGGGGCCGGTGTTACTTTTTTCCTTCAAACATCATAAATTTATTGAGGACCCACAAAGTCTTATAGTTAGCCTAGGGGTAACAGTGAAAAAAAAAAGCCCAGACCTCTGCCTTCACAGAGCTTAGTCCAACGAGGTGGAGCAGACATCCACTAAACAATCACTCAAAAATGTCATTTCAAACACGAAAAGTGCCAGGAGGGAAATCTACTAAGTGTGTATAAAAGGATGTATAATGGGACCCTGACGCAGACTCGAGTAGGGTTGGAAGGAGTGTTGGGGGAAGATGCCTCGTAGAAGGAGGGGTTTCTGCATTTGCACTCCAAAATCGCTCCCGTGAACAATTTCCCTCAGACCCATCTGGAGGCCAACTGTCATATCGCTCCTTCCGGCAACACAAAAACAATATTGCCACTGAGAAATCCCTATAAATACATGAAACTTCTCATCCTTGGGGCTGTCTCTGCACCCCAAGATCCACCTATGGAGCCCGTGTACCACATACAGTCGGAGGCCGCAGTTTAATCCACTTTTGGAAAATGCATTCTGAATTTAAAAGCCTTCTAGTTCTAGCCTATGTCCTTACCGCCAACAGAGGCGAGGAAATTAGCTCAAGACTACCCCATCCCTCAGCAAGAAGGACGGGACCGGCCACCAGCCTTTCAGGCAGGTCCTTTTTCCGCAGGTACTCTATTCCCTCGGACCCCACAGCTCCTCGGGTTTCCCCAGAAGTCCGGCCTGGCCACCCCCTCTCTTAGGGTCCCAGGGCGGTAAACAGCCCCCTTCCCTCCCGGCTGGGTCTCCTCTGGACCCGGAGGAAAACCCGCGGTGGAGTCCTCGGCTGGCGGGGCGGGGCGGGGCGACGCGCGCAGGCGCAGTGGCCGCCAGGTTGGGCCCAGGAGGCGCCCGGCTCCACACCTGATGCAATCAGCCTTCCGGAAACGGGTCCGGCGGCCGCACGCACGCAGGAAGCGCTTCTGCGCCCTCCCCCGGCCGCAGCGCCCTCCGCCTGGCTTCCGAGCCGCCTCGCCGCCCGGCTTCGCCCGGGGCGGAGGGCGACGTTCGGCGTCCCACTGGAAGCCCGCAGGCGGAGTCGGGAAGTCACCGCCAGAAAAAGCAAAATCCTTGGCTGCCCTAATAGTGACGCGGAAACGGCCACCGAACGTTCCGTGGCTGCAGGAGGAAATTCCCTTAATTATGTATTTCCAGAAAGGATGGGCTGGGGTGGGGGAGCTTTTAACCTTCCTTTGCTTGCTTGCTTCCTCCTTCGTCCTCCTCCCGAGACACAGCTTCTTTCTTCCGTACGGAAAGGGACGTTTATAGTAGTAGCCGTTTTAAGGCAGTCTGGGGAAGACTCCCTGATGCCACCCCCTCCCGTGTTGCGCCCCCCACCTCCCCCCGTCTTGCTTCATTTGTAACAGCACGTTATCTCTGCTACATAAAGCGTTCCACCAAGCACTCATTTTATAAATAAGTAATTGGTTTCTGTATACCTCATTTCAGTTTACAAAGAAAATCATTTCTCGTTTCACCACCTCATGCAATTTTGATATCTATTATGAGTGGATTTTTTTTCCTTCCATGCTGACTCACCCATGAATTGTTTTCCAAGGAAATGAAATATTCCAAAAGAATGTTTATAAAAAGCATGGAAGCAAAAATTAACTCTGTAAGTCCTTTAGGACCAAAGAGGGAAAGAAAAGGCAGATTCTAGGAATTTTAGTTGAAAGGATACTTAGATCATTCTAGAATCAAGTCTGGATCAACTCTTAGATGTTACAGAGGACCTCTCTGTGGCCCATAGAGGTAAATAACTTTTCCTTACTTAACAGACCAATCAGCAGAACTGGCCCTTGAATACGGATTTGACATTTCAGTCTAATGAAAAAATATATTTGTTATTTGCACAAACACTATACAAAGTGGAAGACTGTTTTTTTTTCTTCAGTCCAAAGATTACAAAGTACAAAATGGGGGCAACAAAAAGAGATCCTATTACTTATTCCTACTTCTGAAATCATTGGTCTTTAAATAGTCCTTGATGTATCCAACGACTATACAATCTATCCAGCTATTTGTAAGATAACCAGAGGCAAGGCATTAAAAATTTCAATTACAGTGGAATGGAATTCTTCAGAAATTCCAGACATGAAGAAATCTTTTAAGTCAACATTTAGAGCTTCTAGTATTTTCGCTTGATCGTGTGATGTATGAACTGTTTGAGGTTAAACCAAGGGAATTTTAATGATCACAACAAAATGCTAGGATTATGATTCGCCACTGTACTGGTTAAAAATACTTTAACAAAATGGAAATCAAAGTGAGATACAAAAATAACTGCAAAACTCATACCTACAATAAGAACTTTTCAGAACCCTATCTACTTTTTTATCTTGATGAATGTGTATTTCTTTTTTGGAATGTTCTGACATTTAGAGATCTGGATAATACCTTTACTTATACAAAAATAGAGTCAAAAGAATGTCAAAATGCAGAGGTGTAAAGTACAAATTCATCACAATCAGGTACTAGTTACAGACTAGCTAACCTTTATTGAGTGCTCAGCCTGTGCCAGACACTGGCTAAGGGTTTTACATAGGTTATTTAACTTAATCTCACAATTACCATATGAGTTAGGTTATCCCTATGTTATCCCTATGTTATTAGGTAATAGAAGTGAAGTTTGAGAATGTGGAGTCACTAACTCAAGGCACAACAAACCCATTCAGTGGCAGAACTGGGATTTGAACCATGCTGTTTGCCTGGAGCTTGAACTCTTAAATAACACTTTATACAGAAAAATGTAAATACAGAGAAAAGGACTGTGATTTTTGTCTCACATAGAAAAGGTATTGTACTTACTCTCCTTCCAAAGATA